TGCATGTATGCTTGCGTGCATGTGTGTGTGTGTTTGTGTGTGCTTGTTTGCTCGCATGTGAGTTTATTTGTATGTTTGCATGTGCATATAGGTTTGTGTGTGCATGTGTGTTTAGGTGCATGTGTTTGCATGTATGTTTGTGTGTGCATGTGTGTTTTTGTGTGCTTGTGTGTTTGCATGTGCAGGCCAAAGGTCAGCATCAGGTGTCTTCCTCTATATACTATATATTTTTTTGAGATAGTCTCTCACTGGACATCGGGCTCATCTTGACAAGACTAGGTAGTCAGAGAATCCCAGGGCTCCTCCTGTCTCTGCCTCCTTAGCACTGGAATTCTAGCTGTACCACTGTGCCTGGTTTCTCACATGGGTGCCGGGGATTTGAACTTGGGTCCTCATGCTTACAAGTCAAGCACTTTACCAGCAGGCCGATATTCCTTGTCCTATCTTGCTCTGTAGTGTTCTTTCTCTATCCCAAAGCTTCCTCATTCTCTAGCAAGCACAACTTCAGTGCTAGGGTACCACAGAATTTGCCCTCCCCTCCCCACCACCAAGTGACCAGCAAGGTCCTGGGTTCTAGCTCAGGAATTGTATCCTTAGAGGTTTTTCAAAGAAGGGCCTGAGATAGTTGCTTGCACCTTTGCTCAGATCCAGATTCCACACAGATGAGCGTATTATCCATTCCACACTTTATTAATTTACTGGTTCTGCACCCATGCTTGTTGATCTGTATGCCTTAAATATAAAACTGATTTAAGATGCACTTGGAGATGTGCACAGATTCCTGACACTGGAGAAAACTGGTTAATTTAGGTGAAGACCCCATCCTTTCTCTCTTCTTTTTCCAAGCGCTGATCATTTATCTGTTCCTCTTAAAGACTTACTTTGGCTGGACTCAGAAATAGAAGCTGTCGGCGAGGACAGCCCACGTCTCTTGGCAATCTGTTCCTGGTGTTTTTCTTTGATTTCCTTCATTCTCTTGGCCAAAAGTTTAGCACATTCTGCAGCCTCCTCCTTGTTTTCCTTAGTGTGTTGTTACGTTGGTGTTTGTGTTTCAGGATATGTGGGTAACAAGATGCCAGTCTGGGTGCTTTGGTGCTGAGTCTCTTAGGTTTAAGGGCTTCCTGACAACATGTTAGTGGACACCATCTTCTCTAGAGAGACCACTGTTGGCAGATTATTGCTAGCTCTTTTGGGCCCCAACAGTAGAAGCACTGTAGTCTCTCTCTCTCTCTCTCTCTCTCTCTCTCTCTCTCTCTCTCTCTCTCTCTATCTCTCTTTTACAGGAACATTCGGATCTGACAACAGTGGCTGGGAAGACTGTTCAACTTCATCTTAACAGACCCATCAGCAGAAGAGGCGTCAAGAAAAAGAATGGGGTTTCTTCTCTCCCTCCTCCTTCAGTTCTGCTGGGGAGGGGGGAAGATTCAGGGTCCTACTTGGCCTAACTAAGCATCTACCACTGAGCTGCACTCCAGTCCACCATCACTATTGTCGGTTGATTCTCAGGAAGCAATGAGGGGTTAAAGGCTCTATTCCGTTCCTTGTCCTGGTCCCACCAGTTCCTGGCCCTTCTCAGCCTCTGTGGACCTCTGTCTTGCACGGTCTGAGAACTGAAAAGACCATCATGCAGGACTTCATTTTTCCACGAGTGATAATTTCACCAGCATCTGGCACATAGTATGAGCTCATGCTTGTCGGAATTAGTGTCTCTATAGTGTAGAAACTGAGGTTCCGAAAATGAGGATGTCTCGGACGGCACTGTGAAAGCATCAGCTCAGCTTCAGCACGCAGTAGAAGCTTTGGGGAAGGGGCAGAGATGGTCAGGAGCTGCGGTTGAAGGTCCCCAAAACAGCACTGGAGGGAGGAGCCCAGGGCTGGGCTGTATGCAAATACCACACAAAGAGGCTTCGAGTTGGCCCTCTCGAGAGGGGCGGGGCGTGCCGTTGCTGGTGGCAGGTGCTCAGGGTTGCGCAGGGCAAAGAGGGCGCTCTGCAGGTTGAAGCGCTGTTCGCTGCGGCTCATCTCGGGCGATGCTCCTGCTCTGGGCCCTGCTGGCCCTCGGATGCCTGCAGTGTGGCTGGAGTAAGCGGGGGGGGGGGGGGGGGATGAGAACACCGGGACGTGTTCAGGGAGGGCCGAGAGGAGCGGAGACGCGGAGTGGCACTAGGAAACTCATTTAGGGGGTCTAGGATTCCAGCAATAGAGACACAGGTATTAGCAGCTGTATAAGAGAAACAGCCAACATTTATGTGTTTCCTTTGATGGCAATCCCAGCACTCTTCTGTGGGCCAGCCTCCACCCTCTGAGGGGTGTTGCCGGAGAACACCATACAGGGACTGCAGAGAACAGACCCAGTCCTGTGGATACCCAACGGACTTGGGGAGAATGGACCAGTCCCTGGAGTGGTAGGGATGGTCCATCTTGGGATAGCGTTAGACGAGTCTGCAGGGGCTGAAGCTGAGAGTAGACATGGAAGAGCCCTGAACTTCTGGACCTGTCTGTTTCCTGAGAGACTGGACCACTGGGGAGTTGCCAAGGGTCCTAGAGGGAGGAAAATGGATGTGGTTAGAGTAGAGGGTTCAAGTGAAGAGTGAGCAGGGAGGAGGGGGAAGGGCTCTGGGACAGAGAGAGACCTTACAGAGTCAGATAGAGGGCAGCTGGGGTGGGTAGGGATGTGGGGTAGGATGTGCAGGGTGGGCACAGCAGCACTGAATATCTCCAAGAGAAGTTCGTGAATTGGCCCATTGGGAAGGCCAAGCTCAGGGCAAGACATGCAGTAAGTGCTCAGATACTTCTGTGCCCAAGGATGTGCCCAGAGGTCAGCTCCAACCCTCATTGCCTTCGCCAGCTGTGAACCTCCAGCCCCAACTGGCCAGCGTGACCTTTGCCACCAACAACCCCACCCTCACCACTGTGGCCTTGGAGAAACCTCTGTGCATGTTCGATAGCTCGGAGCCACTCAGCGGTACTTATAACGTTTACCTCTATGCCATGATCGACTCAGGTAAGGAACCTGTTTCCCTCTCAAAGGGTCCTTGACAGTCCACAGGGAGGAGGAGGGAGCTGCGTGATGGGACATTGCACGCCTGGGGAGGTCTAGGACCCTTTTGCTCATCATTGCCCATGCACACACTGACACCACTGGGGCTGTGCCCCAGACCTGAACTTGTGCTGGCATCCAGGCTGGTGGGGGAGACATCAGATTCTGAGTACCTGCCTAGCACCTGCTGCCCCACCCACTTTAGAGTCGATGTCTGCAAGCAGCATGCAGGGCATTATGGTAGAGCAGAGGATCAAGGCAAGAGTGTTGGGGGTCCTTCTCTGGGGTTCCTACAATTGCATTGTGATCTCACTGACTTTTAAACCTAGGTTGTTTCAGGGTTTTCCCCAGGATTGCTCGTTGTGACCCAGCCCACAGCCCTTCAATGCAAGCTTCTGGGTTTGGGAACCAGGTACCCACTAACAGCCTCCTGAGGTTTCCCAGTATTCCATCCTGTGAACATGTCTCTACAGCTACCTTTAAGTGTCCAATCTATAGGCATCTGGGTTAATTTTCTGCCATTTCGCAGAAGTCCAGAGCATCGGTCCAAGTCACCCATATAGTAAAGAAGAAACGTGAGATCCAATTCGGGTCTGGCCACATGCACCTTGGCGTCACCCCACCCCTTCCCATTCTACAGGGGAAAGAATCCAGGGCTGCCAGCTGCAGGTAGCAGATGTCTGTTGAGCTGGGGGTTACAGGGCATTGCAAGACAGAGCAAGTGAGAGATGAACCCACCACCTCACAGTGAAGCGCTCCTGTACCCACTGAGTTTGCGCACATGCCAATCATCCTAGTGCTTGGAGCCAACCTGGGCAGACTTGAGCTTGGGAGTGTGTGCTGGGTGACTGAGCGGTTGCCGCTGAGTTGTAGTGGTCGGGGTCCTGACTCCCAGCACTGCCTCTGCAGCCAGCTCCAGGAATGTGTCTGTACAGAGCAACGCCGGAACTCCACTGAGCACCACCTCCCAGCAAACCCAGGGCGGGAGGTCGGGCCCCTACAGAGCTGCGGCCTTTGACCTGACCCCTTGCGGTGACTTGCCCAGCCTGGATGCTGTTGGAGATGTGACCCGGACCTCGGAGATTCTGAATGCATACCTAGTCAGAGTGGGCGACAACGGGACCTGCCTTTGGGACCCCAACTTCCAGGGGCTCTGCAACCCACCCCTGTTGGCAGCTACTGAGTATAGGTGGGTGTTAGCGGCTTCAGGAGAACAGGAGACCCAAGGGAGGGGACAAAATGGGGGAAGTCATACTACTCAAGGACCAGGTGTCCTGACCCCACCCATAGCTGTCTTCTGGAAGTCTTCCTGTGTGTCCCCCATGGTTTTCCTCTCTCTTGTTTCCAGTGGCTGGGCACAAAGGATAGATGAAAGTCAAAGTCACTCTTAATCCGTCTTCCTCCAGGTTCAAATACGTCCTGGTCAACATGTCCACAGGCTTGGTACAGGACGAGACTCTATGGTCGGATCCCATCCGCACCAACCGGCGTAAGTGCGTGCTGGGGTGGTGGCAAGTCAGTCCTGGGATACTCCTTAAGGAACCCCGGCAATGCAGGACTAGGGATTGATCAAGAGGAGAGTTGACTGCCCCTGGGGAAAGTCCCCCAAACAACTGGCCACTGTGCTGTTGAATACAATGCTTCTTGAGATGTTTTCATCGGAACCAACCCTTCCCTCTTCCATGCTTGAGATTGATCCAGGCTGGGTGTATTAAAGTCAGGGTCACCTCTCTGGATTCAGAGATGGGTGGCCCTGTGAGAACTCACAATAGCAAGCATCTGTGACAGCGCAGGATGGCCCAAAGACTGGAGATTAGATGGAAGAACTCAGGAAGAACCATGTCTTTCCTTACTCAGAGTCTTTGAACCCCTGAGGCAGGCAGCAGGGGCCAGAAAACTGCAGAACAACCGAAGTCATGCTTGCACCCCATCTAGTCCCACTGGGGTTCTCAGTAGGGAGCGCAGGGTCGCACGGACTTACGTCAAGGGAACATCCATGCTTTGCAGAGATAGACCTCATCTGATCATGACTGTGTGGGACCCCAGTGCAGAAACTTTCTGCTTCCTACTTCTGCCCCAGCAGGATGAGGGCCACTTGAGGCAGGCTCCAGAAGGTTGCCTGAGCTCACACACTAGTGAGGGACAGGAAGATGTGAGGGATCTTGACGGGTGGATGAGTGTGTGAATGTACCTGGCTGTGGGTATGACTGAACTACGTGTAAGTTCAAGTGTGTTGTGTCTGCCTGTGGGGTACGTGGTGTGCAGCACACATCTATGAGTGTGTAATGGGTGTAGTGTGTTTAAGGTCTAGCCCATTTACTGTATGTTGTATGTGGGTATCTGAGGCATGTCTGTGCTGCTGGGTGATCCTACCTATGCTCCCTCCCTGTCACGCCTCCTGTGACATTCCCATTTATTGTGGTCTTGCAGAAATAGCCTTGAGATCCTTGGAGCTGAGTCCTGGCTCTAAGCCTGGTCTCTGTCCCTCACACAGTGGACACCTCCACCTCCTTGTCTAGCTAGTGTCGTGTGATCCCTCTAGGAACGCCTGGAGCCAGTCCTAAGGGTTAGCCTCCGGGTTTCAGTGTTTGTGAGACTACCTAGACCTAGGGTACCAAAGTGGAGTGCGAACTCAGTCAGGTCCCCAGGGATCTATGTAAACAGTGCCACAAGTCACTTGCGCACTGTAGGACCTGCCCGTTGTTCCCAAGGGTAACACTGACCAAAAAGATTAAAAGCCACAACCCCTCTGAACACTTTGCTCAACTTTATTTTGTTTCGAATAAGTATGCTGTCCATGACACCAGAAGTCTTAAGTTAGTATATATCTAACCTTCTGCAAACAGAGTGAGTGACCAGGAACATGCAGACTACGGAAGGGGATGAGGGGCAGGCAGGCTCTGGGTATGTAGGTCACTCTGGGATTCAGGCAGCCAGAGCAGGGGATTCCTGGACCCGGAATCTGTACCGGGTCTGGGGAGTAAGTGGCTTGTGGTCCTCTGCAGCTATCCCGTACTCAGTCATCGACACGTGGCCGGGCCGGCGGAGCGGAGGCATGATTGTCATCACTTCCATTCTGGGCTCCCTACCTTTCTTCCTGCTCGTGGGCTTTGCTGGAGCCATTGTCCTCAGCTTTGTGTGAGTACCGCCAGCTGAGAGGGCTGGAGCCTGGAGACAGAGCAACACTCTCCCCAGGAAAGATTCAGCACTGGGTCCTTTGAGACCGGGCAGGGAGTGGAAGCCAGGGGCTGCCTGCCATGGTCCGGGAGAAAGCAAACAGAGCCCTGGGATTTCAAGGTCAGGCCATTCACCAGGGTTGAAGGAAGGGCTCAGGTGCATCCCAGGTTGTGGACAGTGGGCCCGTTTATACCTCAGCTCTTGGACTGGGAGTGTAGCTCAGTGGAGCACTTGCCTAGAATATGGAAGGCTCTGGGTTCAATCCCAACATCCCCCACAAAAGACAGGCTTCAGCTGTGATGGGGTTTTGGGACCTCAGGAAGACACACAGGTCCTTGGTTTCCCCATCTGGAAAATTAAGGTGACAATAATATGTACAATAGAGGGTAAAGGTCACCTGGAATTAGCTCCGTGAAGCCCTCGGAGCAGTGCTTAAGAGTTGTTATTTAATTCGCCCATTCAGGTGGGGAAACTGAGGCCTGGTAGTGGGGAGGATATCTCAAGGTCAGAGCCTGGGCCTAGAACCTGAGTCTCCGACTGCAGAAGCCTGGGAGGGTGGAGCAGGGCATGAATCAGCTCCCCACCACACACACACACACACACACACACACACACACACACACACACTGCCACTCAGTGAACCTGCAGTATGCTCACTGGGGAATCTGGAAGCATTAGGAAAGGGCTTGCAACAGCAGCAGCAGGCTGCTTTTCTGGAGGAGGGTTCAGCAAGAGCAAGCTCCTTGCACAGGAGCGGATCCCAATCCCACACAGTGTGCTGTCCAGCCCAGCCCCAGCAAGTCTGGAGAACTCAGAGGGATTCCGGAGACTGGTAGGGGTTCTAGTGAGGGTGGGGAAGCAGATGGGAAAGCTTGTCTGAAATTGACGGGGTCCCAGAAGCTAGCCAGCCTAGAATGGGCTCAAGAGAAGGGCAGTGAAATCCAATTGTCCCCTGGCATTTAAGTTAAAGCGCCTATGATAAATGACAGCAGCCAACAAAAGTCGCTGTCTAGCTAGCAGCTGGACTGCCTTTCTCTCCCTGCTTCATCCCCCAAGCCTCTTTCTCCTTATGATCCTCCTTCAGGATCAGAGCATCTGCCCCCTCCTCCAGGCAGCCTCCCCCGTGGACTTGTCCACCCTGTGTGATCATTGTTGACTGTAATCTGTCCCCTTGACGATCAGGGCACTTTGAAGGCCTGGAACAACGGCCTCCAATTCTCGAGCTCACAGGCATGAAGCTATCCTCATAATTTCAAGAAGGGTGACACTTCCCTTATTCCCGTGGCCTTACACAAAACAGGGGCTACAAAAATACTGTTTGCTGAGATTACATCCTCAAAGGCAATGTATTAAGTTAAAGGCCTCGAGCAGCCGCAGGGGTTCAGGTTTGCGCTGCTCCCCTAACCCTGGCTATCTCTCTTTCTCTGCCAGGGACGTGGGCAGCTCTGATGGGGAAACAACACATGACTCACAGATCACCCAGGAGGCTGTCCCCAAGACCCTGGGGACCTCTGAGCCTTCCTACGCGTCTGTGAACCGTGGCCCACCCCTAGACAGAGCCGAGGTGTTCACCAGCAAGCTCCAAGACTGAAACGAGTCCCAGTCCCAGGTGGCCTCCTCTCAACCTGGTTTTGCTGTCTGCAATGATGGTGTTTATGCTCTTACTGGGCCAAGATGAAACAAAGCTTGTTGGTCCAACTTCATGAAAATCCGTAATAAAATATTCAGTGACAATATCTAGAATGAAAGAAAGCACGGGATAGATACATGAGTAACATCATACTGGGGATTGGACACTGGGTTTCAGGAGATGGGGACATTGTTGTCAAATTATGGTGCTGAGGGCACATGAGTTACTCAGCTCTCAACCCCGAGTCTCACCATCTTCCCCATCTGTTAATGAGATGCTGGATCTGGGCTCTTATGGGGCCAGCTTGACCTGGCTTCCTAAACTGCTTTCCCCGAGGGCATCATCATAGCCTCTGTTCTGTACCTTCTGGAAAATGGTCTCTGCTTTCAGTTTAGAGTGAGTGAGTTTATTAAGGAGATAGCAAACCCAAGTAAAAGATTAAATAGAAAGAAGTAGGTAGAGAGGGATTAATAGATAGACAGATGACAGATAGAAGGTAGATACATTGTAGGTGATGAATAGAGAGTTAGATGGATGGATGGATGGATAGATAGATAGATAGATAGATAGATAGACAGACAGACAGACAGACAGACAGATAGACAGATAGACAGATAGATAGACAGACAGACAGACAGACAGATAGACAGATAGACAGACAGATAGATGGATGGATGATAGGTAGATAGACGAGTGATAGGTAGATAGAAAATAAAACGTTATCAAGTCAGGTGCTCAGTAACCCAGCAGGAACCCATTAGAGAAGCCCATTTAAGCAGCCAGCTGGGGTTTCCCATGGAGAGTTCTGGGCAGAGGGGAGGACCCCTTCAGGTGAGGCCTCCAAGTAAAAGAACAAATAGCAAGAGAGCAAGATGATGTCATCAAATTGGGCCCTCTCAATATCGAGCAGGAACTGACTGGGGAAGTTGAGGCAGTCAGCTGGAGCTCCCAACTGGCTCTTCTCTCCAAGGCTGAGCTGCCAGACTCCCTTTCCCACTGCAGCCATTTTTATACCTCGGGATAAGCAGACGTAACCCTGGCGGCGTTGGTTTATGTCCTAGTCCTGCATCCTTTCTGTCACAGTTAGAGGGGCAGCGCAGCCCCAGACAAGGGGCCTTGGAGGATTCTCCAGACAATCTCACTGGACTCTGAAGTAGGAAGAGGGTGACTGACAGTCAACTCGCAGAGTGCAAACAGTGAGTACAAATAGCACGTGACAACCGAACAGTGTAATGTAATTGCGGGATCTCGGACCAGCAGGAAGACCAGGAGCCAGTGAATTAGACTGTCACAGAGCAAGCCCAAGAGGCTGCAGGATATACAGGGAGCAGGGAGGGCACTGGGTCCGCTTGTGCTCATGCGTGCATGGAAAGGAACTGTCCCTGTCCCAGGTCTGGGTTCAAGAGACTCATTTCTCTTTTCTGAGTCTCATACCAAGATGCTTCCCCTTTTGGGGTGTGCAAAACACGTCCCAGCCTACTTCTCATCACTGGAAGAGGAGCTCAGGGGCTGTTTACAGTAGAAAAGTTACAGCTGAAGGAAGGTCATGTATACACACACACACACACACACACACACACACACACACACACACTAGTGAATAGACTCTTCACTGCAGAAGAATACAAGGCACTGCAGGACGATACAAGTCTGTGCCCCTCACCTCACTCATAGTTAAAGCCTTGACTCTCAGTGGGTAATATTAGGGTGGGGCCTTTGAAACTTTTGCTGTTGAAAGGTGGGATCCTCACCACTGGGATCCATGTCCTCACAAAAGAGCCCAGAGCTGGTGTGGTGGCGCTCAGGAGGAAGAGGCAGGAAAATCAGGAGTTCAATATCGTCTTGGGTAACACAGTGAGGCTGAGGATGACCTTGGCTATACAGGAGACCTACTGAGAAAAAAGTGGTGTTGGGGTTGGGGTGGGGGAAGGTAAGCACCAGTCCTGAAAGCTCCTGCCACAAAGGGGTTTAAGGATTGAGTCTCAAAACACCCAGGCCAAGCAGGCATCTTGATCTCAGTCTCCCAAATCATAAAAAGTAGATTTTTGTCCCTCACCAGCTACCCTGTGTGTAGTAGCTTATTACAAACATCCTGCACAGGCTTGTGATGGTGTGGACCCAGACCAAGCCCCTGGAGGATAGGAAGGCATCAGGTTCATTTCTGTGTTCCCACCCCAGCACAGTGCAAGGGGAGAAAGGAGTCTGGCAACCGCAGCCCATGGTTCACTATTCATTGAACACTGGACACCTGCAGGAATGACTTCAGAGACAACACTTTGCCCGAGTTTGACACCCTCAAGGTCAGCAAGAGGGTGTGGCTAATGGCTAAGAGATTGAGATAAAGGAGGTTATTGTGCTAGAGGCCTTGAGGCCTTGCACTGTGACGTGGGGCTTTTATTCTGAGTGTGATAGCAGACCATGGAGTAGTTTCAGGAGGAAACAAGCTTGCCAAAGTCCACTTGGCTGCCCTGTGGTGGAAGAATGGTGCACCACTGAGCTTTCTGTTGCAATGACGAAATACCTGAGGGCGTCAACTGAAAAGAAGAAATGTTTACTTTGGCTCTGCAGAAGTCTTAGCCCGTGGCTGCCTCACTCCCACGTGATGAGGCAGAATATCATAATGGAGAGGGCCATGTGGAGTGAAGACACTACCTCATGGTGACGGAAAAGGATCGGGTGGGGGAGGGTGGGGGAGGAAGGAGGAGAGAGACTGACACCAGGGACAGATGTCGTTCCAAAGAGCACACCCCAAAGATCTCCTTTCATCCATATCTCACTTCCAATACTGAGTCCCTGGAGCCCATCATAGTATGGACACATCAACGGATCAGTCCATCAGGTCTGCACCCCATGAGCCAGTGCCGACTCAAAGGGCTGCCTCTGTTTGAGGATCAAGAGTTAACAATAAGCCTTCAGGGGACATTTCTAGATTCAAACTGTTGTTGTTTAATGTTGACATGTTCCCTGGCAGGCTCGCAGAGCAGCCGCTAGTCCGACAAGGACAGCTGTGGGTCCCTGCAAGATCTCCAGGGTGGCAGGCTGGTCCTGCCATGTGGCCCGGAGAGCAGGTGGGTGGGTGTGGCGGATAATAGTAAATAGACATAAGGCTAAATATAAAGGTAAACATTTATTACTTAAAGAAGAGGGAGACAGAGAGACATGAAAACAGACATAGAGACACACAAAAGACACACGTGCACACGCAGAGAGGGACAGAAGAGGGGTTAAGATGGCGACCAGGAGGTCAGAAGTGGCAGGGAGTGGGCGTGGCTTGCCCTTAAAGGGACCAGACCCAAAGGAATAACACAAACCATAGTGGAAGTTTTGGGATGGGGAGACTCCTGAGATAAGCGTAGATTCTGCAGTAACCCAGCCAGGAGGTATGAACAGCCAGCCCAGTGGGGAAGGGAGCAGATGGGAGCCAGGTGGGGGTGTAACTCTGATGCAGGCTGAAGAACATGCTAATGGACTGACCATGAGGCGGCAGGAAAAGGGCCGGGACTCGTGGATTCAGGAGTACTGGGGTTGTGATAATGCCATCTCAAGGTGAGTCAGGGGAACTGAGCAAGTTCAGTGTGGACTGATTAGGCCATATCGGCAGAGCCAGCAGGAGTAATGGATGTGGGAGCCCAGCACCCAGGGGAGGAAAGGGTGACAGGTACATATCGGCCATTATCTGAGTGAGGAAGAGGGACCATGGCCCCCAGATATCCCTCAGCCTTTACTGCGGAAGGATTTAACTTATGCCTCAGTGCCCTTGGGAACAAGTTCCAGCACGCCCATGCATACCAAGGTGCACTAAGGTGCAAATCCCTGTGTGCACACATTTGCACACGTAACTTGCACATGCCCTCCCATATCCTGTGTTATTAATTCTCTTGGCAGCTCTGGGAGGGAGCCCAGGACCTTGCACGTGCTAGACAAGCATTCTACCTCTGAGTCCCTCCTTATACTTTAAATTGCTGGTAGAGTACTTAATGCCTAAGACAAGTTTATGTTTATTTGCCGTCAGACAGGGTCTCGCTGTGTTTCCCAGGCTGGGCTCAAACTCTTGGGCGCAAAGGATCGTCTGCTCTCAGCCTCCTGAACAGCTGAGCAGCGGGTGGGAAGCAGTGCGCCCAGCTTCTGTCTTGCACAGAGGCTGTCTTAACAGTTGTGTTGTTCAGAGAACAGCAAGGGAAAAGCCTGTACTTCCTTAGCCACAGTTCTAGTAGCTATGCACATATGAGCAGGAGCACCTGTCTAAGCATGCACAGACGGAGGCTGGAAGTCAATGTCACGTGTCTTTATCACTCTGCACCTTATATTAAAAGCTGTCCTTTTACATTTCTTTATTTTGTGACAGGGGATGAGCAGGAGTCTGGAGGTCAGAGAGCAACTGTCAGGAACCATTTCTCCCCTTCCATCACATGGGCTTCAGGGATGATACCCTAGGCTCTGAGATGGCAGCAAGAATCTCTGCCTGATGACTCGCTTGCAGCCCTCTCCACTTTAGTGTTACTGTTATTGGGGGTCTTCTATTTTCCTTCTTCTTCTTCTTCCTCCTCCTCTTCCTCCTCCTCCTCCTCCTCTTCTTCTCCTTCTCCTTCTCCTTCTCCTTCTCCTTCTTCTTCTTCTTCTTCTTTTTAACTTTTTATTTAGTGATTTTTGAGTAGGGCTTCTCTGGATAGCTCTGGTCATCCTGTAAATTACTTTGTAGACCAGGATTGCCTCATCCTCAGACATCTGCTGCCCTCTGCCTCCCAAAGCTACTGTTAAAGGTGTGAGTCACCACATTCAGCTTGGCTTTTTTCCTTTCCTTCTTTTTTTAAAAAATTATTTAATTCAATGTACATTGTGGAGGGTGTCAGGTCCCTTGGAACTGGAGTTACAGACAGTTGTGAACTGTCACATGGGTGCTTGGAATTGACCCAGGTCCTCAGGAAGAACAGACAGGGCTCTTAACCGCTGAACCGTTTCTCCTGCTCTTCTTTGTCCTTTTTGAGACAGGATCTCACTGTGTGACCCCGGCTGGCCCTGAGACTCATTCTGTAGACCAGGCTGGCCTCAAACTCACAGCGATCCACCTGCCTCTGCCTCTGCCTCCTGAGTGCTGGGGTTAACA